TTTCCTCTAAAAAACTTATGCACGAAAAGGATAACTCAGTCGACGTAGTTTGCATGCCATCGTTGTCACCTTTGACCTGACAGGGGGACCGTCCATCATAAAAGGGGAGGGGTGTAAGTTTTCCACACAGCAAAAGTTGCAGTGTAAAACACAGCAAACGTTGCAGTGTAAAACACAGCAAAAGTTGCAGTGTAAAACACCAAAAGTTGCAGTGTAAAACACAGCAAAAGTTGCAGTGTAAAACACAGCAAAAGTTGCAGTGTAAAACACCCAAAGTTGCAGTGTAAAACACCCAAAGTTGCAGTGTAAAACACCCAAAGTTGCAGTGTAAAACACCAAAAGTTGCGGTGTAAAACACCAAAAGTTGCGGTGTAAAATTTTGTACTTGTCGGCCACGGTACGTCACATCTTTAATGTGCCAACGCACTCTTGCACATTGCAATTAGAAATTGATAAGCTGATTTGTCATGTTACTAACTTCGTATTCACTGAATTACTTGTACACACTGTACTAAGAATATGTTGTTAGCTTCATCCGTATACCTTTCAAAACTTGTTTTTTCCCTGTAATTAAAGGCACCCAAAGAAGTTTCAGGGCAGTAAAACTGGATTTTCAAAGTAAATTTTCTACTGAAATCTGTGAGGCAAAAATGCAATGTTGCGGAAGCTTGTTTCGCAAAATATCATAAGCTGATCTTCTCGCTATTTGTCAGTGGTATCAAAAAATATGGCAGTATATACATGTATATCATCCAGAATTTTTTTGTTTTGCTGCCCTGAAAATTGCATCGGATGCCTTTAATTATATTTTCTTGAATATGTTGACAACAATGATGAATGATGCACCAAATCAGTTGTATGTGATCTTTTAGTTGTGACCTTACTCTTTACACACTTGAATAGTTAGATCCGGTTGACAAGAAGAAGTGGACCTCACGTGTACGACATCATGCAGACATGGTCCCTTTGACCTTGTCATGGAGTAGGACTGGGACTGAGGGTGATACAGAATACACCGTGTAGTATTCTGTCTATGTTATACCCACCCCAGGAAACACATTTCATTGCGGAATGTGCCAAAAGTTGAGAAAATTGTCATCCCTGACCAAAAGATTGTAACATCATGTCCAAATCTGGTCTTTGAATTTTGAAAATGGTGCACGTGGCGGATGTGCAATGCATTGGAAGTATTCTTGAAGCCTGTGTGATAACCGTTAAAACCCTGTGTGATATGGTCAGTTATTACCCAGGCTGGGACAACTGTATTGAACATTATTGCAGCCCATCTATGACATAAAAAGGTATTACATATATGCAAACATTCAACGTAAACTAGTATGATACAGGCTTGAACTTTTGAATCATTGTTTCAATTTTTTTTCAGTCTACTAAGGCCACACCAATTTAATTTGTTGGTTCTCGGATTTTTTCAGAAAAAATATGAAGCGACAGGGCGAAAAAAAATAAAAATAAAAACAGGTCTAGGCATCCTATTATAGGCTTAAATGCAACAAAATGAGCCATGAAGTCAACACAAAAGGCTGGGTTAAAATTTAAAACATTGAATTTTTAACTTTTAATCAAACCACTGCAATGATAGATGGGAAAACTGTAACAACTAGGAAGAAAAGGACTTTCCTCAACTGTTGGGGGGCAAAACATGGGCATTTTTCAGTTGATTCAGGACCAGAATCAATTTTTTTTTTTTGCAAATCAGAAAAAAACGAAGAGGCAAATCCGAGAACCAACAAATTAAATTGGTGTGGCCTAAGTGTTATGGATGTAATTATTATTGCTACATTTAAAGATTCAAGACCAGATAAAAGTCAAAATATGGCAAGGTGGGCATTTGTAATGTTCTACATTGTTCAACAGTTCATTTTAAGTGTCCATTTCTGCCCAATCAACCTTTAGTAGCACCTCAACATGAAACGTTGTGCTGTGGGGAGAATGCACATTTGGTGGCTACAATTACACTGTTTCATTAAACAAACACAGAGGAGGCGGCTTGCTGTAATCCAGTGGTCACTGGAAACGGAACGGAATTAATCTTTTAAATATAGAGGAATCACACAAACATTCGTTAGCTTAACAATAAGTCCTAATTGGTGGCAACCTTTCTTTTAAGAATGATGGAGAAGCGAAATCCCTCGGACTCGTTTTGAAGATGATGTTGTTCTAGCTTTGTAACCTCGAACGTCATGTTTCTACCTCGATGATTACAGAGATTTATGGGTCGCACTTAACTTAAACAATGAAGGCCAAACTGAGGAGACTTCGTGTCTACGTTCTACCTTGAGGCTGGACTACAAAATTGCTTATCTGCAATCCAAAAAACATTTGGTTTGTGTCTACCACCTATGTTCTCATTCTTACTTAGAATTACAGAAAGATTTTCTCCAAACTGCATATTATAAGGATTGTACTTTCTTGGGCATATAAAGCCAGTATGTTGTTATAGTAAGTAATCTGTGTGATTGGTTGATCAGGGGAGGGGAGTGGCCCTGTTATTGGGATAGTTTATCCACTTAAGTAAATTTTCTCCCTCCTCACCTGGGGCCATAGGGCAGCGCCTTTGTTTAAGGTCCCACATAACTCTGATAAGAATGCAGGTGCAGGGCTCGAAATACCATCTGCCTGTGCAGGTTAGTGCAGGTATTTCTTATACCTACACCTACATGTAACCTCCATGTACTTTATTATTTATCTCAGGCATTCATTGCCCATATAAAAGAAAACATACAAATAAAAATACAACAGTTTAAAATATGACTATGAGTATAGATGTATACCACATACAAAGTGTAAATATAATATTACAGTTTCCTAAAATTCTGAGTTGTGCAGGTAAAACTTGTCTGGTGCAGGTAATTTTCAATGTTTACCTGCACCAGTGCTTGTCTACAGAAAAAAGCATTTCAAGCCCTGGGGTGATTTATAGGTAATCTCTCCCAAGTGTTCCCAATAGGAATGTAAAGTCTCCTTTTGTCCAGGGGTTAAGACCATAAGCAGAAGTTGTAATTTTGATGAGGAAGTTGTAATAACTATCCAGCTGATGATTCTTTTTTGTTACTAGTAGAAGTGAGCTATACAAGTGTAGTTCCAAGGTTGAGAGATACAGAGCAGGCTGTACAGGTATTCCATGTGAGTGGATGCCCCTGTTGTCCCACGTGTGGCCCCCCCGGCCACAATTATATGCAAATGTGGCAGGGATTAGTACTGGGACAGGTAGGCTGGGTGCCTCACTTCAGCGTGCTACAGGACAGGGCAGGATCACAGGTGTGTGGGCTTCATGTGTAATAAACCTTACCACAGACCAGGTATAACCAACCTAGGTAGGCGTATATAGCTTAACCTGTCATGTTTTTATTCAGTTAGTTTGAGGTATTTGTAAGTCTTGATTTGTGGCTGTGTTGTATTGTAATTTATGGGCATTTGGTAAGTTGGTTTGCCCTTCCAAGAAGGTGGTTTGAAATCTGCCTGCATTTGGACCAGAAGAGGTGTGTAAGGTATGAGATACATGTTGTCTCGGCAGCTGCGCTTTGTATTGTGTTGGTGCAGTTATACATGGTATATGTTTGAGTTGCACCAGGGCTTGCTAGGTATCCTTGTGGCACATAAATTAGCATTCCTCCCATTGTTTGTGCTGGCCTCTTCTGAACCGCCTTACCTGCCCAGGTTGAGCGGAAGTCGTAAAAGTGTCGTCCTTCAGGAGAAGGGCAGATACCTCAGTTGTAGTGATGCCCTGGGAAGTTATCTTTGTCAACACTATCTCGTT